TATATATATATATATATATATATATATATATATATATATATATATATATATACACATCACACACACACACACACACAAATGGTTACTGTATTTATTTTTTAACTATATTTCTATAACTATTACTCTGATACAAAGCAATGCTATATACAAAACATGACTGAACCAGTTAGTAACTTGACATTCCCCTTAACTGTTTTTTCTGCTAACTACATTTTAATCAAAAGCCTGTAAATACTATAATTAATAATCTGGCTATTGTATTTTGCATATTATACATACTAGAATTAATTTATTTCCCCAGTTTATAAACCAGTATGCACCAACATTTAGTGAAAATTCTGTTACTGCTTACACTTAAAGTCACTTGTGTTTCTTGTCAGACCTCTTATGTTCATTTGTTTATATATATATATATATGCACACTATCAGCAATGTAAGATTTATCACAAATTTGTTTTGAAGTGTTAGACAAATGTTAGACAAAATGCTTTTCTACACTCAGAGGGAGTTTTATTTTGCTTTTGCCACAAATTTATTTTTCTTAATACTAAAAGAATAAACACCAATTTCTCTTCCTTCTCAAGCCTAAAATAATCAAATGAAGACTTAAAAAAAAGTCAGAGCTTAATGTAATACACTATCCAAACCACAAAGACGTTGTGTGGCATGTCTTAATGTACAGAAGACTGAGGAAGCCTATTTTCTTATGTTATTTTCTAATATTTGTAAAAGGTAAATTGAAAAATGACAGGGGATTAAATATTTCTACTGAACCACACTTTGCATGGTACAATTTCTCTTATTACTGTGTAAGGTAATTGCTACTAAGAACCTACAGTCTACATAGAGGTACAAAATACTGTGATTTAAAGCTGAAGTATTTCCCCCTCCAAAGAACAGAGATGAATCTCCTCACAGGAAATTTAAAAAGAAATGGATATTGTGTTAAAGGGGTTTGACAGCTTACATCTGCTGACTTTTTAAAATGTCAAACAGAGCAGTGTGACGTAACTCATGAAAACGTTAAGCAGTTTTCAGTAGTTACTATGTAATACTGTCCTGCTCTGTAGACATATCGTACCCAGAGCAAAAGTGTATCTGCTTTCCTTCCGCCACATTTAAACTAGGGTGGATAAGTGTTTTATCCATCCTCCATAAGCTCTAATTTCAGCAGAAGCGCATGGACCTCTTCAGGACTTGCAATTCTCCTCGACTACAAAACACCAAGTGGGAGGCATGAGGCTAAGTGTTCATCCCCTTGCCACACCTCAGCCAACTGGGGCCAATGGGACTGGAGAAGTCAACATCCATCCAGGCACATTGTTGGAAGGAACTGAGGTGATGAGGCTGCTCTGCGCCCTATATTGTCTTGCCCTCAGTACAGAGTGATGCTGAGGGGAGGAGTGGCATCGGAGCACTCTGACATTGCTAGAGGAAGGTTTTACTGTAAGGCACCACAAGGTGGCATGGTACCCACAGGTGGGAATTTGCAGAGTTTGAAGGAAAACCTATATTCCAGAACAATTTATTTCACAAAAACTTATTCTAAGAAAGGCGTGAGTTACCCTGATACAACTCAGTCAGGAGGTGAACTCTGACACCTAATGACAACATAAATACAATCTCTTAACTATTTCAGTGTCGATCATTTTAGGCGAAACATCTAAATTAATGTACTTATTCCACATTCCTTAACTGTCTCCCACACTTTCCTAATTACCAAGAGCATCAACTGTCCCCGCCCCAGCTAGCAAAATCTCCTGTTTCTCCCGACAACTTCAACAATAGTTATGTAATCAATATGCAAGCTGCAGCATAGTGAAAACTCTGACAGCACAAAGTAAATTGAATTTAATATCAAAACAAGGCTTAGTGTATGGTCTGTTTACTCATTTTGGTTAAATTATCAATTAAAAAATTCCATTTTGGGATTTAGCTTAGCTGCTGCACCAAAGTGGTAGGTAAACCAGGGGGCCGTGGAACAGAATTTAGGTCCATCTTGACACCGATCCTCATTTTTATTTCATAGAATCATAGAAGATTAGGGTTGGAAGAGACCTCAGGAGGTCATCTAGTCCAACTCCCTGCTCAAGGAAGGACCAACACCAACTAAAGCACCAATTTATTGAGCAATGCTGTGTTTGGTGCTATACAGTATCCCAAAATGAGGACAGTTCCTGTCCTGATGCATTTCGGATTCTAGCCCCCCGACCCCTCCACAGCCCCAGTTCCTCATTTCAGTGTCAAGGAAGGAAACCCATAGAAAGGGTAGAGGTACACACTCTGGGAGGTACAGGGAAAAACCCAAACTTTCTCTACTTCTGAGAGATTGATATGAAGTCTTTGTTTACATATGAGACTGACTAGGGATGGGAGAGCGAGATTAACAGACCAGATGACTGACCAGAGGTTCTACTCTCCATCCAAAGAAAATCTGTGCATTTGTGAACTCTAGGCTTGGTTACTGGAACTCAACATACCTCAGTATGAAATAACACAGCCTGAAAAGGCTTGAACTAGTACAAAATGCAGCAAACTCATCAGCTTAAAAACAAAGGTTGTCGTAAACACATCACTCCACTTCCTGCACTGCCTCTCCACTGAATACAAGAGGTCAGTTCAAGGTCTGTCCTTTTAGTCAAAACCTAGCTACCTGAGACGTCGCCTCACCCTCCATGACAATGTCTTCCCACAAGTGCTGCATTCCACCTACATAATTGAATCGATGACCAAGAGGGGAGCTTTTCAAGTGCAGGAGACTGAGCTGGACCTAGAATCTAGACCGGGGTAGGCAACCTATGGCATGCGTGCCAAAGGCAGCACACGAGCTGATTTTCAGTGGCACTCTCACTGCCCGGGTCCCGGGGGGCTCTGCATTTTAATTTAATTTTAAATGAAGCTTCTTAAACATTTTAAAAACCTTATTTTCTTTACACACAATAGGTTAGTTATATATTACAGACTTATAGAAAGAGACCTTCTAAAAACTTTAAAATGGCCTCTCTTTCACCAAGCCTCCCAATCCCTCCAATTAACTGCAATGATCAACCACAAAAAGCTTGGGTTGGGAGTTGTATAGCACTTCCTGAAAGTCAGCAAATCTGGTCTTAGACAGACAAAGGAAGTGACTTCCAAAGCCAAGGAGCCCACTCTGATAACACCTTGCTTGCCAGCCCCCTCCCATTGACTCTACGAGCTGTTTGTGCAGAGTACCTCTGATGATTCCCTGTGTGATACCATGGAGTTGCAAACAGATAACCACGCAGCCAGGATGCAAACCATTTAGGGCTTTACAAGTCAAAACCAACACCTTAAATTTCATCTGGTAATTAGAGAAGCTCAAGAAGCTCTGGGATTCCATCTTTTAACCCTCAGTTGTACTGTTTTCAGCAGGCATACATCACAACAACTCAGGAGTGAAAACTAATTGTAATTTGGAAGGGGGGATTTTTGAATGATCTACAACTCTGCTAGAAAGACAAGATGGGTAAAGTAATATCTTTCATTGGACCAACTTCTTTTGCTGAAAGAAAAAAGCTTTCAAGTTACACATAGCCCTTTCTCTGGTCTGGGATAGGTACTCAGTGTCACAACTAAATACAAGGTAGAACAGATAGTTTAGCGTAAGTAGTTAGCACATATTCTAAGGGTCCATTATAAGGTGAAGTTGGTCCAATAAAAGATATTACCCTCACTCACCTTGTCTCTCTAATATCGTGGAACCGACACTGCTACACTACCACTGCACATAAGTACACTGACAATTTTCAAATTACTTGTATAAAAAACAAAACCTATTTAAAAAAAAATCTTATTGGAAGCTGTATGTATTTATGTTGCCCTCTTTCCCCCGACATCGAAACACATTTCTCCCATCAAAACATCCAGCCAAGCATATTGGTGCAATTTCCTTTATTTTAGAGAAAACCGTAGAGGCTCGTTTCCCTCTCCCCTCTTTCTGGAAGAAGGGAAACAGCTTGCCATTGTAGCCTAAACCGTTTAACCACATTTCCTTCTTTTTAGATATAACTCTGCTGGTTCCCTTCAATTTCCAGACCCTGACAAATATTAATAAATTCCTGTTGCAGAGCAGTGATCACCAACACATCTCACAATCCAAAGGCATGGCATCTTTTAAAATCTGATATTAGCACTCCAAAGTCATTTATTCAGAAGTTGCTGGATCATAGTAAGGCAGTCAAAGACTACAGTAATTCTAGTAAGAACCTAAGATTCTCCTTTCCTATTACAAAATTATTTTTACAGTTTATGATTAAAATTAGGCTGAGAAATGTAGCTGTTAACCACAATACCATCAAAACTTAAGTGAGAATCTATTTTCAAGCTAAAATGGCTTACCCAAAATTTTGTCAATTTTTCCCCTAATGCGGCTTGTCATGGTATCTGAAATTCATTCTGGTTTGTGAAGCTCAGATATATTCGCTAGGAGCACAGAAAAGATCGTAAGGCAATAAATTCCATATTCAGTTCAGTGTTTGGATAATGTGCAGAAAACCATCACATGGGACCAGACAATGAAAGATGAGATTAAGAAGAAATATTAAATAGCTGCCTCATACATGGAGCAGCCTGTCTTGTGCACTGAATGAAGCAGGGGTCCTGTGGAGAAGATAGCAGCTGATCATGTAACTGACCAC